GTGACTTTGGGCCAATCACCAGGAGATGGTGAGTTCTAGTCCTGCCTGCAAGGGACTAAATGAAAGCATCAGGCAAGACTGACTTAACAACCGTCTTGGTTAGCAATAGAAATTCCCAATTGTGTTTGTAAGTTGTGGACTATCTATACTGTACAGGTAGTCCTCAACTTACAACGATAATTGAGTCCAGAATATCCTGTAGCACTGTGAAAGATTTATAAAGTAAATTTTGTCCCATTTTACGATCTTTCTTGTCACGGTTGTTAAATGAATCACTGTACTTGTTCAATTAGGGACATGGTTGTTAAGTGAATCTGGCTTCCCCATTGACTTTGCTTGTCAGAGAGGTCGCAAAAGGGGATCATGTGACCCCTGGGACACTGCAACCGTCATAAGTATGAGCCAGTTGCCAAGCATCCAAATTTTGATCATGTGATCATGAAGATGGTGCAATGGTCATAAGTATGAAAAATGGTCATAAGTCACCTTTTTCTGGTGCTGTTATAAGTTTGGTCATTAGATTAACTGTTTTAAGTCAAAGATTACCTGTACTTCTTTACCCACAAGCTGGATATAAAAGAAGGAAAAAATAGAAGGTATAAAAAAACTTTTATCTAAATTTGTTTGATGCCGTCATTCTAGGTGTGATTCAGGATGAATCAAGTATTTACGAAGGCACCGAGGGGAAAAATATCTCCCCAGTGCAATTTCAAACACTCTGGAGTTTCTTTCAAGTTTTTTCTGCCACTTTCCTACTTCATTTGACTGTAAATAAGTAGCTTTAAAAAAAAAAAAAAATTAAGCAAATGAAGCCGAATAAATCTCCGGAATTTATTTAGTGGGTGGAATTTAGATGCTTTTCAAATGCAAAATCTATCATGTATTTTTAAAAACATGCTACCTCTTTCCAGTTGGAAAGCTCTCTGTGCCGATAGATTAAAAAAGTAGATTGAGAAATAGCAAGAAACTCCACATTTTTCTAACCGGGGGTTAGACCGCAAATGTATGCAGTGGGCACCTTCACAAAATGGCTGCCGGTGTTGCCCCTGTCTACTTTACTTAAAAGAAGGAACAGGGTTGATATCGGAGGTGGTATTCAGCCAGTTCTGACTGGTTCTGGAGAACCGGTAGCGGAAATTTTGAGTAGTTTGGAGAAACGGCCAATCCCACCTCTGACTGGCTCCGCCCCCATCTATTCTCCGCCTCCTGAGTCCCAGCTGATTGGCTGGGTCTCCTTTGGTTGCCCTGCACAGGAGGAACGGAGCTGGAAAGCAGGTTAGCGGGGTGGGGAGGGAATGGGGATTGTCCCTTTAATTCCTCCAACTTGGCCCCCAATGTCCAGTTATCATCGGCTGGAGAAAAAAACTCTCCCAAGAACAGTTTTCAAAGGGAAGAAATTCCATCCAAACTCAAAGTACATCTAAATTATAAATAAAAACCAACACAAACCACAGCTGCAGCAATTAACGAGACAGGGCAGGATAAGGAATTGAAGACGTCAAAAGATAATGAAATACGCACGCTTGGGAGGACGCCAGAACTCAGATAAGACTTGACAAAGCAGAATAATTTCATGCTTTGCTTCCAGCTACTTTGTCATGTGGTTTGCCCTTTTAAACAGTCTTCCCAGCTGCAGCCCATGAAGGGGATCAGGGCCCTTTCCTCCCCCATAACCACACAACCCACATTGCTCCCTTATCTGTTCCTCCCTGCGTGCCCTAGGATGAAGAGGGGGTGGCCCTGGGTCTTCCTCTGAATGCCCAGCCGGACTGTGCCCTTCCCCAGTTTCCTCCACAGCCACCAGAGCCACACTCCCACTCCCTGTCAGCTGTTCCATCTCTCCCTTGGAATCAGATTCCAACAGGGACATGACAAGGAGGTTGGACTAGAAGACCTCTAAGGTCCCTTCCAACTCTGCTATTCTGTTATTCTGAGGTCATTCATTCACAACCCTGGATTCATATAAGACAATCCACCAGTTGCATCTGTCCCCATCCGACCAAAGTGTGTTGTTTGGCAAACTCAGCCTCAGCAACAAACCAAGGTTTTGATTAACCTGGCTAAACCGTCTAACCTGGATGTATCACTTGATTCTTCCCTCTCGAGCAGGCGAATTGCAAAGCTCAGAAGCAGGCGCTGTGTGAGAAGTTTGACCGCATGGGGGCTATTTTGGAAGAGCGGAGGAAGATCATGCTTCAAAGGATCATGTATGAACAGGAGAGCAAGAGCCAACATCTGAATGGGCTGAGCAAAGTATGCAGTGACCACATCGAGTCGTCTTCCAAACTGGTGGACACAGCCCTGCAATCCATGGAAGAGCCTCAGATGTCCGTTTTTGTCCAGGTAAGAGCCCTGAAACCAGCAAGATGTAATCAATCTGTCTATCATGTATCTATCTGTCTGTCTGTCTATATCTATTGATATGGATATGGATAGATGATGGATGGATGGATAGATAGATAGATAGATAGATAGATAGATAGATAGATAGATAGATAGATAGATAGATAGGAATAGAGATAGATAGATAGATAGATAGATAGATAGATAGATAGATAGATAGA